CCACACATCCCTGATCCTTTCCATAGAGAAATAGTAACAACTCCTGAACCTATCATCGTCCAAGGTGAAGAAGAATATGAAATTCATAAGATTTTGGATTCTCGTATCCACCGTGGCTCTTTACAATACCTTATCAGATGGAAAGGTTATGGAGTTGATGAAGATACCTGGGAAGATTCATCTAATGTTCATGCAAAGAGATTAGTTGATGCTTTTCACAAACGCTACCCCTCTAAACCGAAATAAGTGCACCCAGAGGATGCCCCATGAGAAGGGGGTACTGTCAGGTATACCTAACATTCATGCTGCCGCCGGAACCCACTTCCGGGTTCACGGCGCTTAGCTCCGCCCTTTTTTCTGACGCGGTCTTTCCACGATACTTAGGAAGACCGCGCCAGATTCAAAGGGCTGGATTATTCACTCAGGTGCGGCAGTAAGATCAGCTGCCCCACTCGATGCTACCGGCTCCTCTCTCAGACCTCGGGTTGTAAACGGATTTCTACCTTCTCATCCCTCAGACCTCGGCTTGTAAACGGATTTCTACCTTCTCATCCCTCAGACCTCGGCTTGTAAACGGATTTCTACCTTCTCATCTCTCAGACCTCGGGTTGTAAACGGATTTCTACCTTCTCATCCCCCAGACCTCGGCTTGTAAACGGATTTCTACCTTCTCCTCTCTCAGACCTCGGCTTGGACAAACGGACTTCCTTTCTCTCACTACTAAACTGCAGTTTGTTAAAAGAGACTCCTTCCTTTTCCTCCATTGGGTGAATTAACCCTTCCAGTGCCAGAGTGCTTCTAAGTTAAGTAAATCTCTTGTCAAGGAAAGCAAGTCATATCAATTATTATAGTATTTAATTTCTCTAAACTCTCTGTTGACAAATAAGCATTGCATTTTTTCCTTGCATGTGTATTTAAAGATACAGTCTACCTTGTTCACTTCAATAAAATAAAGGAGGTGAAACTTATTGTTTCTGCAGTTGAGTTCCAATTAAAGAGACATTACACAAAAGCATCACAAACACAAGGTCTCGGCTTTTGCTGATGACCTACTATTTACCGGCTCCAATCCACTGTCCACAATGACACATATCCTCTCAGAGATGGAACAATATAGTAGGATCTCCAATGAGGGAAAAAATTCACTTCTCCTGGGCTTCTCATTCTCTAAAATATCTAGGGATTAAAATACCACCCAACCTAAAACACCTCTATGAGATAAACTTCCTTCCTTTAACAAGTAAGATATCCAAAGATCTCCAGGTCTAGAATAGACCCAACTTTTGCTGGCTATGTAGGACCAATATAATAAAAATGAATATTCTCCCCCGCATACTATACCTTTTGCAAACACTCCCCATCACTATCCCTAAAGTTTTTCTCCTCAATTAAATCGATCATTACAAATTTTATCTGGTCCAACACACGTCCCAGAATCGCTCACAAAACACTAACTCAAACTAGAGAAAAAGGAGGATTAAATCTACCAGACATAGAAATGTATCAGAAAGCAACCCATCTCACTAGAATATACGAATGGACGCACACGACCTCGAGCCAACACTGGGTACTACTGGAAAATTCATTTACAGAGATCCCACTAGAAGTATACCCATGGTTATCGCCGACCTTACCGCTAAATTGCCGACAACTAGACGCACACCCCACAATAACACCTAAGCTACACATCTGGTACAATCTAGTAAAAACAACAGAGATTTTCACTTACCCCTCCCCTCTATACCCCATCACACACAATCCCAGTTTCCAAAAATGACTCTCGGGGAACGCTTATCTTAAATACCACAGTGGCAAAACGCTGCACTTAAGAGACATAATCGAAAACAACAAAATAAAAACCCTTTCACAAATTATACCTGACACGACACCCACGGGGAACCAAATACTTAAATACAACCAGCTGACACACTTCATCAAAAGCCGACTGACTAAAGGCATGAGAGACCTATCTAAATTCGAACAACTCTGCTGCACTCAACCCTGCGCTAAAAAAGCACTCTCCACAATGTACAGACTCGCCAGGGAGATACAAAACCCGAACCTCCCAGAATGGACATTAAAATGGGCAGAC